CTTTCCCTAGGTTATCAATGATTTGCTTAATCCAATGGGGCAGAATCTAAGAATACGAGAGGATGCTCAGGTGGTTACATTTAAGTCTGGGAATTTTGCACCATATGATTACTTGCTGTTTTATCAAGAGGGATATATTGCTTTTGATGAAGTTGATAAAACCCTTAGTGTGTGATGGTGTGGTTGCCTGGAGCGCAGTAGCGCTGGCCATTTACTTCCTGCCTGATATTGCACCAATATTCTCAATTCTATTTTTTGCTGTCAGCATCATGCATGCAAATTAGAAACTACCTTGCATATCTCTTGTCTAATTATCCATCCTACTGGAAGTTATTTGTTGATTCAGCAACAAATGAAATTGAACCATCACCTCAACTCTATTCACTGATATGGAAGCAAAACCTTCTTTGAAATTGCACTTTTCAGTTGTAGATGCAAGATCAAGTTGTTGCCAATAGCTGAAGTGTTTCGCAAACTAAAATCAAAATTTGGCCATCCTTTTAACTTTTTCCTGAAATATTTACTTGCTTTTTTTGATGAAAATTGTATTAGTGACAAAAAGAATTACAAAAAGCAACTTAAACTTGAACTCCCCCGCCATCTATAAATTTCAATGAATAGAACCTGAGTTGTCCATTATTCGAGAGCTTGTTTTAAGGTGCATTTTATCATGTCATCAGGGAACATATGTCGAGGGAATCAAAGTAGAAGTTGTTTTGTCACCTGCTCATGCTCTTTCCTTGATAGCATCTGGAGAAGGTACTTCACTTCTGTTATGCATGTTTGGAAAATCTAGGTACTCACTGACCCACATTTAGCTGCCAAACATAATCACTTCCACTCGATGTGATTCCTTTGATCTCTTTTAGGGAATGTATTTTTATATGGTTGTTTAATTAGTTCACCTACATTAGACATTGTGAAGTACGGGCACTGCATTGTTCTATAGTATTATTCTAGTTACTATACATTTATCAACTATATGGTGTTGTGCAGCTAGGCACCTCTCTAATGACACTATTTCTGATTGTTGCAGAGCACAGGCATGTGGGTTCTAATAATTTCAATCTTCTAAGCAGTCGAAGCCACACAATTTTCACCCTGGTATCTGTTTTCTATTTTCGGATTATGAAGTTTTACATTCTCTAGCTCCCCTCCTTCCAGTTCAATACTGCTTGAAGCTTAGAGTTGAACTTTCTAAAACTAAACATGCTGATCACCTTATCATTTAAAGTTTGTTTGAATGATTTCACCTTAATGGGATGGCTCCTTATTTATCTCTAGATTTTATTTTGCGGTACTAAACATATCATTATCTGTCAGACTATTGAAAGCAGTCCATGTGGGGAATATCAAGGGGAAGAAGATGTGACTTTGTCCCAATTGGTAGATTCTTTTGTCAGATATATTTGAATATGATTTTTCTGTTAATTACAGTCTGCTTCTGGGTACCCGACATGACTTAAATTCTGTGCAGAACTTAATTGATCTTGCAGGATCTGAAAGTTCTAAAACTGAAACAACTGGATTAAGGAGAAAGGAGGGTTCATACATAAACAAAAGCTTACTTACTCTTGGCACAGTAAGATGTTGCTCTTATCTATTAGACATCTTATTTTCATTGTGTGACATTTATACTGAAACCAATTCCAACCTGCTAACATGCCTCACATTTCTGTTTTGTGCAAATTAGCTAAGAAGTTTGGACTGTTAATGCTAATTTGTTAGTTCACTGGTTAAAATTTCATTGATTGCTGGAAAATGCCAGATTAGGTTAATTTTGAGCTGGTGGTAGTCAATTATGGACGGATACCAAAATTAATTTGGGCACCATAAAAGGTTTGGACAACGAACAACTAAATCTGAATGACTTTGGCAAGGCATTTTAAACTTGTTTGGGGGCATGAAGTACATGGTTTCTTGACTATTCGTGTGTAGAATGTGTTGTAGTGCTGGGGAGCAGGGAACTTTATCTAAGTCCTTCTGTATCCAAATTGTCAATTCATATAACCTGACAGTATTACTGCTTCTCCTTGCAGGTTATTTCTAAATTAACAGATGAAAAAGCAACTCACATTCCATATCGAGATTCAAAACTCACCCGTTTATTGCAGTCATCTCTCAGTGGCCATGGACGTGTCTCTGTATGTTCGGCATAATACTTCAGATTTTTTAGCATTCATATAGTGACATCTTTTCCTTGCTGCAATGTAACTTGTTTGGTGTAAAATAGTTTATTCATATTTATTCGAAGGAGGAAGTTTTTAAATATTTTGTGTCTACTTGCGGGTCTGGGGAGGGGGAGGTGGAGGGGATTGTTGTTACACTTTCTGTTTTGTTGCTATCCTCCATGTTATTGGAATAGCATGCTATTACATTTTACTAAATTTCCTTCTCAAACTTGCATGTAGCTCATATGCACAGTGACACCTGCCTCTGGCAATAGTGAAGAGACACACAATACACTTAAGTTTGCTCACAGGAGCAAGCAAGTGGAAATCAAGGCTTCTCAGAATAAGGTGAATTTTTAGCTTCTCTTTCATGCTAAGTGTGGTTAACTTAAAAGGCTGCAATTTCATAATTTTCATTCATTTCTTAAAATGTTTTCTTTAGATTATGGATGAGAAATCTCTCATTAAAAAGTACCAGAAGGAAATTTCCTGTTTAAAGCAAGAGCTTCATCAATTAAAGCGTGGAATGATGGAGAGTCCTTATATGGCTGCATCTACCCAAGAAGATCTTGTTAATTTGAAGCTTCAGGTTTTTGCAATGGACTTCTATGCTTTATATCAGAATCTTTTTATTTTAATTGTTGCTAAGATTCTGGATGACAACAGTTACTCCCACCCCATATTTGGAATCTATATTTCGTTTTGTGAGGTCTTGTATAAGTTTGATAATTAAATAAAGAGTGTATGTAATCATCTCTTTATAAATCATGGATGAGAAATTTAAGGGGCTATATATATTTTGCGAGTGATAATTTGCGACATTGGTGTTTTTCTACTCTAACTTGAACATGTTAATTAATGTCTCCTCAGAATGGAGCTAAATATGTGATCAGGGTAGCATGGTGTATGATACTGCATTTTTTATTGTTGCTAAATATGTGATCAGGTTTTCCTTAACTTAAATAATAGATTATCATGTGAATTCTGTTCATATACTCAAAGGTTCTGTTGTGTAATTTCCCGTGGTCAAAGCTGGAAGCTGGTCAGGTCAAACTACAGTCACGATTGGAAGAGGAGGAACAAGCCAAGGCAGCTTTAATGGGAAGAATTCAGCGATTGACCAAGCTTATCTTAGTTTCCACAAAAAATTCCATGCAAACAAGTCTACCTGAAAGATCTGATCATATAAGAAGGCATTCATTTGGGGAAGATGAGGTTTGTTATTTGCCCGTAAGCTTAGTTTGCAAGAAAGCGGTTTCTGGATCTTCAATCAAGATGGCATGGTTTATGGATTCTTGATTTTATTGTTGTCGCAGCTGGCATACTTGCCGGATAGGAAAAGGGAATGCATGACAGAAGAAGATTCTGGAAGCTATGCTTCTGAGCTTTCTGTAGAAGGAAGAGATGAGATTACTAATCTAGATGAGTTGGTGAAGGATTTTAAACGAAACAGGAGGCGGGGGATGCTTGGCTGGTTTAAACTGAAGGTACATTCTTGTGCTTTAAAAGAGGACCCTTTTCATGAATGTTTAATTAGAGATGGATCTGGTTTGTTATGATGTTATACTGGTTGTAAAGAGAGATAATCAGGGAATTTCATCAATACATTATTACTCTACTGTGTTTCTCCTTTCAAGTTTCCTCAAGCTACTTTTCTTTTCCTTTTACTTTTATTTTACATGCATTGGCTACATCTAGTCACACCTAGTGCGTTCTTCTTGTTTTTCATTTAAACGCTGTTAGAGAAATCCCCACATTGTTTTTTTTTTTTTTTATGGATTTAAGGTATGGCCTCTTGTATATGGTATGAGCATCTCCACCCAATAGTGCAATTTAATTGATCTAAGCATCCGAGGCCTTTGATAGGATGCTGAGATATTGCCATGACTGTTTACTATTGGAATTTGATAACTACAAGGCTGCTATGGCCATACATTGGAGCAGCACTTTGCGAAATGGAAAATTGTTTTAGCCCATCCATTTGCAGAGAGGCTGGGCTATGGAATCAATCCCTTTTAATTCTTTCAGTGAAGATGTCATGTTTAGAAGAGCCTTTAAATTGGCTTGTAAAAGCTGTAGTCAGAAGAGCTTCACATCTTTCTGATAACCTACGAAAATGTTTGCTGATCTTTAAACAGTTAAGAAAGATCAGCAGATATCTTGAAATCGAGTGGTGATGGTTAATAAATGTGAACCTTTTGATCTTCATATTGCAACAATTTATCCTCTTATCTACCTCTCTGTTTGGAAGATAGCTCGTTTGGTGTTTTAAACAGTGTCCAAAGGAAATAGTTATTATCATACAACTGGATGAACTGTTCATTTGATTTATGAGGTGAATTTGGAGCTTTGTATTTTGAACAAAAAATTTTTTTGGCCCATCATATCCGAAATAAGGATGATGCTCTTTATATACTTTATTACTCAATTATTCTAGAGAGTGTACAGTTTGCATTGATGTTGAACAAAAAATTTTTTTGGCTGATCATATCCTAAATAAGGATGATGCTCTTTATATACTTTATTACTCAATTATTCTAGAGAGTGTACATTTTGCATTGATGTTTGGATCTGTTGTGCTAAACCTCCTGTTAGTTGCAGTTAACTTGATAAAACTTCTTAATGATTTCCCTTGCAGAAGCCAGAGAATTCAGTAGGGTTGTCACCTAGTACAGATAGTGAGAGCTCTGCTGGTGGATCACCTGCCTCCCATTCCAAATTGTCACAAAATAGGGTCACATTCAATGATATAAAAGATGGAAAGAGAAAATCTATCGGTAGGAAGGGAGATGAAACTACAATCATTGGTTCATTTCCAGAAAGAACACAAGCTGGCGACCTGTTTAGTGCTACTATTGGAGGACGCCGATTGCCTCCAGTGAGACGAGCTTTAACTGCTATCTTAATATTTTAACACTACCATGTTCTTTCATAAGTATCATATATGATCATATTGTGGTGTAACACTGCTGAGTCAGTCATTTTTCCTGTTATTGCTTATGACAAGTAACGATATCTGCTATGCTTTCATGATAATATATTAGGTGAGTTTTGTAGTGTGCTGTTGCCTTTAAATAGATGGTGGGATATCCATGTTATTGCTTGATCATGCACCATTCAGTGGTAAAAGAAGGGTGGTTTAGAATACAAATAATACAAGGAGTACAGGAAGTTTTTATTTCTAAGAAGCCTGTTTCGTACTTCCCATTGGGGGTTTGCAAGCAAAGCTATGCATGACTTCATTACAATTAGGGCCATGAGTGGTTTGGGAAATTTGAGATGGATGTTTGTCATCTCGATTTAACTTGGGTTGTAGGACATAGGCATCTTCTGTAATTGACTGCATTCCATTTTGGCAGTATCCATCATGTAATCAACTCAGCAAGTGTCTATTGATCCCTTGATTACTATAGTGGAGTTGGTAATTTGTGTTGTAGGTGTATATTTTTTCCTTATTTTTTATTCGAGGTAGTTTGCTTAGTTATGTTGAGTTGTCAAATCCCTTTGAATAAGTGTAAGGTGTGCTTTTCAGCAAAGGTCAAGAGTTAACAGGAATGGTTTGAATGCTTTTCATGCAGACTGGTACCACAATAACGGATCAAATGGATCTTCTTCGTGAGCAGGTGAAAATGTTAGCTGGGGAGGTGGCATTGTGTACTAGCTCTCTGAAGAGACTTTCAGAGCAAGCAGCTAGCAACCCTGAAAATTTACAGCTGAAGGTGATGATCCTCCTTGTGCATTAGATTTCAATAAGATGTCAACCTATTTGATTTCTCAGGTCTCTTCCTTGACAAGGAACTGAAAATTTGTTTTTATTATGGTTTTATTTTAATGGCCATATTGTTTGACATAGGAACAAATGCAAAAGTTGAAAGCTGAAATTAGTGAAAAGAAGCATCAGATGCATGTTCTAGAGCGACGCATGATTGAATCAGTTGAGATGACGTCAAACACATCAACCAGCATTGAAATGCCAAAGGTAACTCCATGTGATGTGACAGGCTTAGCAGATTTGAAGAACCGGGGAAAAATAGTGAACTGCAAGAATTAACGGAGTCAAATGAGCAGATTTGAGAGAGAGCCAAGGAGTGTTATTTTAAAATATACAGTCAAATGAATCCCATTAAAGTTTTTTTGGTGGCTCTAGAAGTGAGAAATAAAAGTGATGTTCTAAAGAACAGCTATTGAGACACTGGTACCTGACGGCACCAGTTCACTATTCTGAAATTCTCTATCTGTTGTTTGTGGCTATCTTTCAAATCAAATAATGAATTGCATTTAAGTGAAGTGGTGAAATAATTTTTATTTTGAATTGTCAGAATTCAACAAATTAGAATTCTTTGTATTTTTTTGGCTAGTTAACATTACAGGACAAACTAGTGACTTTCAGTAACCTTTGGCCTCTAATTTGTTTCCTTCTCTGTCTTGCAGGCTTTATCCAAGCTCACTACTCAGCTCAATGAAAAAACATTTGAACTTGAGGTTTGTTATAGTACTTGCTGTCTAGCTGCAAGGATAGTTTTTTCAGCATCAAATGGCAGGATTTTTTACTAACTTGGTTTCTTTGTTTTGGGATGAGTATTCAAGATTAAGTCAGCAGACAATAGGATACTTCAGGAGCAACTGCAGATTAAGGTACATGCTAGAGCTGTATAATCACTTTATCTTTGCTCTAAAATGTGAAGTTTTTTATGATACATGGTTGCTGTAACAGATATCAGAGAACACTGAGATGCAGGAGACAATTCTTCTGCTGCGGCAACAGCTAAATTCATTATCAGAAAAAAGCTCCAGCAAACAGAGAATTGCTGAATCTGAGTCTACCACACAGAAAGAGCAAAGAAGGGAGGAACGAGATTTGGTCATTTGAAGAAATTTATGCTGATGAAAACACACCAAAAAGTGTCATGAGTTTGAATCAAATATTTTCCCAAGATGACCCCAAAGAGTGCAATGACACTAGTTTATTGAATTCTCAAGTTCTTATACAGGTTAGTTTATCTTTTAATTTTTTGGCACTTTCTTTTTAGGTGCTAAATTGTTTTTTTGTCTTTATGTTATCTTCATGGATCTACTAATTGACAGGCGCCTATTTTTTTCCTGATTTTTTCTCTGGTGGTTTTAATGGTTTGAGTGATGGGCTCTGTTTATGTATTTGTAGGCTTCTGAGATAGAGAATCTGAAGCAAGAGAAGGTGAAGCTGATTGAAGAAAAGGATGGACTTGAAATTCAAAGCCAAAAACTGGCAGAGGAAGCATCGTATGCAAAAGAATTGGCGGCTGCTGCTGCAGTTGAGCTGCGAAATTTGGCTGAAGAAGTAACCAAGCTGTCTTATGAAAATGCGAAGCTGTCTGGTGATCTGGCTGCTGCAAAAGAGACACAATGCAGATCTAACTGCTGTCAGAGGTCCATTTCATATGATTTTAAACAAAGTAACTCCAATGGTTCTCTACCTGATGGACGCTTTAGAAAAACTGAGGATAGTCTTTTGGTTGGGGAGTTGCAGAAGGAACTAAATGAAAGATACCAAAGAGAAGCTTCATTGGAAATGGCACTTTCTGAGAGAAACAAGGTAGAAGGTGAGCTACGGAAACAACTTGATGAAGCAAAACATCATGAAGAAGATTTGGAAAACGAGCTTGCCAATATGTGGGTGCTGGTTGCAAAGATGAGAAAGTCTGGTGTTAATGCTGAGGACATGCCATCTGAAGGGGTCTACACATCTACCACTTTTGGAGCAGGTCTTAAAAGTGGATTTCTGCTATCTAATGGTCATTCTTCTAGAATATCCAAAGATGAAACCTTTGAAAACATTGATGGGATGAAGACATTAGAAGAGTTGAAAGTAAGCTATCAGAAAGAGAGAAGAAAATGCAAACAGCTAGAAGGCATTATTTCAAGATTGAAGGTATTTATTTTCTTGACCAAACTGAAATTGCATGACAAGTTCCCCTTTACTGCACCTGGATAAATTTTGCCGGGATGATTTTCAGGTATTCTAACTTGGCTAGATGTTAACTGAATTGCTACTGTTTGTGTAAGAGTGCATGCATGAAGAGATGATCAGAGCACACAACAGTTTGATCGAGTGCCCTAGATCACCAAAACAATAAATGTTCTCTGTTTAGAGTTCATCACAAGCTCAATGGCATAAATTTTAGCAATTAGAACATCGTGGGGTCCAACATTCCAATTTATTTTGATTCCAGTTTCATTGTTGAACTGCTTAAGAATTAAGCATGTCATAGGATTTTGATATTCAAAATCCTGGCATTTGTCTCAAATCAAATGATCTCTCTAGAATTAATTTTTATACAGACAGATTGAAGCTACCGACTACAATTAATCAATTCAAATTTTTTATTAGGTTGAAGACATAGATGGTCTGGATGTCACAGCTCTTGAAGATCTACAGAATTTTCATGTCGAAGCCATAACTAAAATCTGCCATGCAAAGGTGACATTCTTTTATTCTCGCTCTTTTAAATGAGGTTACTGGATGTGCTTTCTTTTGCTGCTTTGTTAACTTGTATTTTCGCCTTTCAACATGATGGTATTTGCATTAAAAACAAATGTATTCATGTTAAGTATTTGGAGTTTGATTATGCAAGGTGTCTGAGTACATTGACTAGCGCTTATTTTTGGGATTCATATCGATCATCTCTGATAGTTGCTTTACCATGCAGTGTGCAAAGCGTGCGTGATAGCATACTAAATCCAACTTATGGCCATCAGAGCTGCTGACCTAGGTTAGTCCTGACCCTAATTTTTTCTACTCCAAAGAAGTGTCTGCTTTGATGTGTTCTAGCTAACCACTTGTTCCAGTGTAAATTTAAAATCATATCATTTCTATATTTACAATACTATGGCATTTTTTATGCACAGCCTAAATTTATGAAGATTCAAGCTTAGGGTTTTGATAATCTGCTCTTGGCAACATAACATTTTGTAAAATCCATAATCTAGGGCTATCGATCTCTATTTACAATTTGTGTTGATGTTTTGCGATTGGCCTCTTGTTGCATCGTTATTTTTGGCCACACCTGTCAGGATATTTACATTTCTTTGAATCAGACTTCTCCTTGATTCACCATCAATAAAGTTCCTGTGATAACCAAGAACATGTAAAATTGCTCAAACCTTTGATAGATTATATGCTTTCAGAGGGATATAAACGCAACTCTTCATCCACGCCATAATGGTCACACCAATGTACTAATAATCTAAGCCCGTATCACATTTAGGTTACAGATAATAAACCCAAAGATACAACCTCACCACGCAGCACAATTAACGCACCTATACCCTTCCCTCGACCCGAAAATTTGGGGGGATAAATAAAAACGGAATAGGTGAAGTGGGATACAGACAACGGGTCCATATGCATTTCTTGATGTGGCCATATGAACCCCAAAACACATTTTCTGCTCCAAATTTCAGCTCATGCAGATCCATGTTGGTTTTTTGCAGGTGTAATCTTATTTGTACAGTCATCGAAACAGTAACTAAATCAATTTGTCAACTCTCATAGTTAACTCCTTGTAGAAGCTACGGTTATGGGGATGGCAGATGGCTTTTTTTTTTTTTTTTTGTATTTAATCAGTAGCTAACTTGCAGCAGAAATTGAACAAGGACTCGTATATTTATGTGGGACAGACCCATTTACATCATCTATGCTAAACGTCACTGAATATCAAAAGCTCTGTTGTCTGTATCAATGTCTAATGACATTAAGTTATTTTTGCCTTCTATTTTTTGGTGAAAAGTTTGGTCTTCTCAGAAGCATAGGTTGCAGGACAACGCTCCTCTAGGATACCAAAGTAGGCCGCATAAGGCTGGAAAAAACCTTCATTATATTCACGATCCACGCTGTTAAATAAACAGGAGGAAGATAATCATGGTGAGAGTTCCAAGATTAAGCATATAAAATGAAGATATTACTAGAGAATGGTTCAGGACTTGGGAAGTCTATTGCAATTTGTTGGGAACCATCCAATCTGCTGTCTCTCATTGTCATAAACCACCACCCTGTCTTGCATAAAAATGTCTGGATAGCACGGAACAGAGGAATCAGATTTATACGATTAGGATATATAAAAGGTTTTATTAGATACGTCCATTGTCATGTTGCTATTTATTTTTATGTTTTAAAAGTATTTTTAAAATTTTTTAAATTTTTCTTTGTTTTAATTAGTAATTTTTTTGATGTTTTCATATCATTTTGATGTAATAATATAAAAAATTATTTAAAAAAAATAAAAAAATATCATTTTAATATATTTTGAAGTAAAGAATATTTTAAAAAATAACTGAAAATAATCTCTCACCTCCTATCACATTGAGGTTTCCCAGGCCTTGCTCACCGCCGTTCAGAATCCCTAAGCACACATTCCCATCTTTCTGAAATGAGGAGAGGTTATTAATATGCTTGCTGATGTCTAAATGTATGGTTGCTAAGTGCAGGGAACTTGTGAAAGGTTTTTTGAGGTGCTTACAGTGATAATGAGGTAGTCCTCAGGTGCCAACTGCAGCTGCACATTCTTTGCTTTTATAAAGTTTATGGTTAAGGGCTTGAAAAAACTCTTGATGTCAAGAATAGATTTGATCGGTTTAGCAGTTTTCCAGCACACTGCAAGTGCCTTCTCCTCCGGTGCATCTCTTAATGGCTTTCCACTAAGATCCTTCCTCACCTGAGACAAAGTTAATGATTCGTGTAACAAAATATTTTAATGTGTGTTTCTTTATCTCATTCAATGTTATCTTCCTGATATAAAAAATCAAGCATATCTCACCAGATTAAGTATACTCTGGTAAACTTGAGCACTGAAGTACGTATAGGAGCTCCCGCTGTCAAAAATCAGCTGTAGTCCCTTGATGCCAGTGGGCTTTCCCCCAAAAAGTAGTTCTGCTGGTCCTGACGAGTATAGTGTGCTGGATGAAAATAAAAGGAATTAGTGCATTTAATTGAAGTAACCGAGCGAAACTAAAGCTGAGAGCAATGGTCTAAAGAAGGTTAAAAACAGAGCTAGAGCACTCTACTCTGAGGAACTGCGTCGCATTGGAGTCCAAGTGATTCCCGAAGGCGGAAAATGGTGATCTCCAAAGAATAAAAAGCCACCTGTTACCCTACTGAAACAGTGGCCGACCACATTTTGCGTGATACCCAGGTTTCGTAGCTGCGAAAGAATGCTTGCTTTCCCTCTGCCAAGGCCAAGAATCCCAGCTGTGTCAGGCGGTGAGTGTGGGCCGAGATATTTTTGATCATATCCACACCTGCATGATTGCAACGTATTTCAAGATGGTGATCCATGCTCGAGCTTTTACAAAATCATATAAGTTGGTACATGCCACCAGATTTTACAGTAGCTAACAGAATAAAAGTACAGTTTCTTTTAAGCTTAGTTGTGTACTCATCAAGCATAGAAAAAAAATGTCGAAGGGTGCGTCAACTGGGATGGAATGCATGAAACCCACCCAAAGGCGATTCTAGGTTGGAGAAGAGAGCCGTTGTTCAATCGTAGCGGGAAGTAGTCCGACAGCAGCACGCCAAGAGATGAACCAAGATCAGCATACTGGACTTCATAGTCACACTGCTCAGTTGGGATGTCGCAATTGTAGTTTTGTCCTGTGCTGATGGCCTGGCACAAGGAACTTGCACAAGGCACACGATTGTTCTTTGGCTTGTAAAGTTTATCAAGAGGCTGCACATTAGAATGCATATTAGACACAGTGCCAGGTCATTTTAAGACTGTTACATTGGTGGTTTTGTCTTCTGTACAAGGACACGCTTACCTTAGTGCAACCTTTGCAAGGAGCATCACATTGAACCCAGGTGAGATCACTACCAGTATCAATATCCAAGTCAAAAGCCTTTGGTGGGTTGCCTATGTTCAGAATCACAGAGTAGTGCCTGCAAATTACAAGAAGATTCGTTATTATTCCACTTCAAAGAAATCTTTAAAAGTCAAGTTACAAACTTGAAATCTCAATTATAAGCAATTTAATATAGAATTATTTTCCAAAAAAATAAAGACACCTGATATAGAATTGATTTATGAGAGAGGGTCCAAGTCAACATTCCCTAGAGAGGAGAGATAATCTCAAGAAATGCTAAAGAAACCACGCGGGACTACAAACGGGTCGTTCCAGTGGTTCCTAGAAGAATCCATGCGGTGGAATTGAGTCGGGAGAATGTGATTTGAAAAGTCAAAAGAATCTTTCAAAAACAGCAACACATCCCGCAAACAGGAGAAAGAACCAGACTCCGTTGTAGAAGTCAATTAAGCAAATAAAATAAGAGTTACAGAGACAGTGGTGCCCGGAATAAATAAACGAAAACGAAAACGAAAACAAATGATCATGGAATTATCCAAGAGGCAATGGAATTCAGAGTTGATGAATGGCCAAGCAATTCTCCACCAAACCAACAAAAAAGATAGTATATGAATCCAATATTCTAATAAAACAGACTATTAAAAGATAGTACCATGAGACACACGAATCCAATATTTTCATTTCATTTTTGCAAAGAATCAAGAAAATACGCACCCAGTAGGATAGACATTTCCGGTGACACGAAAGAAAACAGAGGAGCCAACTCGATCATTAGCAGGCGTGGTTGGCTTTCCTTTAATGGGTGTTTGACTGGCAGCAGAGAAGCAACCTCGAAAATTAGCAGCCATTACTATAAAGAACAAGAGCATCATCGTCACCAATGATACGATTCTTTTGCTTTTCTTTTCCATCTTTCCGAGTCTTTACAGTCGATTATGTTGTGAGCAAAAAGGGGATTGTTACGGCTTTTGACTTGAAAAGGGAAAAAGAAGGAAGGAAAGAAGTTGGAAACTCAAGAAGTGAAATCTACTTGGCTTTTTGTCTGAACGGAGACATGAGCGTTGGCTTTAATAGATGTGGCTTCTCTCCACGTGTACTACAGGGAGAGTTGAAAAGGAAATAAAAATCAAAACTGGGTGCAGCGTTTTCTCTCTGGTTTTTTCCCTGATATTATAGGGTTCAGGGAATAGGGGCTGGAAATAAACAATATTGAATCTGAGCAACTTCAGCTGGAATCTCCTTCTCCTTTCTTTTGAGTTTTTTACAAGTAGAGAGAGGGAAAGGGAGACGCAGGTGGTATAGGATTTTTCATACAAGGAAATTTCACGGGGAGAGAACAAAGCAGCGTCTAGAACGCGTGGTTATTTGAAGCAGGAAAGGTCGAGACTACCCATGAGGATTTCATTCAAATGTTGTTTTCAAAGGGCATAATTGTCTCCGTACTGTGGGGGGGTTGAAGGAGTCAAGAGTGGCTCTCTTCCTAGGATAAAAAGCGTGTAGGAGACAATATAATAAATGAGAGGGTCATTAAGAAATTAATTTTGATACCCTCGGTCTGTACCGATTCAGCGGTCTCTACAGTGGTAATGGACGGTAGAATAGTTGTTTTTTAAAGTTTTTTATTTAAAAATATATTATAATAATTTTATTATTTTTTAAATTTTATTTTTAATATCAGTATATAAAACATAAAATTGCTAGAAAATAATTTGAAGCAGTGAAAAATATAAGCAAATTTAATTTTCTTAAAAATATTTTTTAAATACAAAAATAAATAAATTTTTAATTTAATCGATGACATCGTTCTTCTTCTGATACTGTATTTGACATCTTTGTTTTGGTTGTAGTGGGGAAAATCTAGTGCCTAGACGCTCATTTTTTTATGTTATCCCATGGATTTATTCCTTGTTACTTTGATTTTGTGCCACACACGCTTCTGGTTTATTTTTTTTCCTTTTTTATAATAGGTTTAATAGCGTTGAAAGTTTGAATATTTTTGTGCGTTTGGAATAAGGTTTTTTAGGTTCTTAGTTTTTTTTTTTCAAATTTAATTTTCATGCTGGTTCTTCTTTCTAATCTTTTATTCAGTTTTCAGATTCACTGTATTACACGTAAACAATCCAAATGGTTGATTTTTTTTGCGTGAATATTTATTACTAATAACTTGTGGTGTTTGTTAGCGTAGTCAAGATGTAGTTTTTCTATATTTAAAAATAAAATGAAATATTTTAATATTTTTAAATCATTTTAATATATTGATATAAAAAATAAATCTTAAAAATAAAAAATTATTTCAAACAAGAAGCATTTTAAAAATAATCTCTATTAAATTTTCAAACAGCCGTTAAATTAGAAGTTCTAGAGTGATCAAAATTGAAGAAAGGGGCTGGTCAGATTAATTTCCAAAACTTATGGGACCATGGCTTTATTTTACTTATTTAATTATTTTTTATTCATGCACCAGGAACTAGCTGGGATAGCTCCTAAACTGGTTGACCATGTCAAAAATCAAAACCTATATTGACATTATTAACCTTGGATGGTTTTTGCTGGAATTTGGAATATTCAATTATGTGTGTGTTGGACTAGAGTGACGGATATGTCATTTATGACGAACAAGTTCAATCCAAGTCCTTATATTTTAATTTTGCCGACATTTTAACGCGATTAATTTTGCCAACCACCACCTTCTTCAAAAATTCAAAGCGATTCCTCTCCGTAGCCTGCATTCCTGGTTTTAAAAGGACTTGAATCCTAAAAAGGTGGAAGGCTACACTGAGGCCCGTACAGGCCCATTTGAAAAGGGCCGTAGCCCTTTTCTTGCATTTCGTGTATCAAAGACAAGTTATTCTCCTTAAAAACAAAAAAAAAATTAAAAAAAACAGCTGTTCTCCAGTTAAAATTGAATAGACGGGATTTTTTCTATCCTTCGCAGTGTTTGTTTTAAAAGCGAAAAAAATTAAATTCTATTATTTTTTTCAAATTATTTTATTTTGATATTTTGATATTATAAAGTTGTGTTAATATTAAGAATAATTTAAAAAAATAAAAAATTTTATTTTAATATATTTTTAAATAAAAAAAATTAAAAACAAACCATAATCACACCTTTCACATAAATTATTGAGGTATCATGCAAAACAAATAAGAGTGGTTCGCATTCCCACCTGCTAATTAGTTTTGGTAAAGTAGAATAAAAGGATGAACTGAGGACAGTCAACATCGGTAAAGAGATTATTAAATTTTTTCTGATGTCAGTGAGGCCTAGTTAATTAATGACGATGAACTCTAAGTAACAAGTAATGACACGAGCTGGTCGCTGCGGTGCCTTCATTTGATCTGTGTATGAGTGTATCTGTTTGTGAACAGTGTTCAGTATCTACGTCACACGATTTCCATTCAACTTTTTGACTCAACTGTTTCCTGATTTTAAAAGTGTTTTTTTAATATATTAAAATAATATTTCTTTATTTTTTAAATTTTATTTTTAAATATATATATAAAATAAGCAATTAAAATAAAAAAATTCAAAAAACTGCAAGACGTTCCCTTAATTGTTTGATTATAAGCCAGTGTACTTTCTATCCCTGTGGAGGTTTTTCTATATACTTGGTCCACTCTCCTTTAATCATGTCTACCAGCTACCTGCTCCACTTCTCTCCTCTCGTTCCCTGTTTTCCATAAACACCTGGCTGTCTTGGAAACCGTGGAATCAGATTCAATAGAAATGGACGAGCGACAAGCGGTGTCATCACTTGAAGAACCAAAAAGGGACGAGTCAGTGGCAGCAGAAACACCAAGTTTTCTTCCAAGAACAGGGCCCAACAGTTTCCTCAGTAAGCATAGAATGGTAGCTGCAATCAACCAACTTCAGAGTCAAATCAATTCCATACAGGTTAGCTTTCATGTATTCTGCAGTTCAAGTAAAAGCAGCAACAAACTAAACTCCGAGTATTATGCAATAACTAAATATGCAGGAGGAGCTGGACCAACTTGATACATTCGGTGAATCATCGATTGTTTGCAAAGAGTAAGCAACAGCTAGAGAAAAATAATTATGTCCCATCTCAAGCCCATGCTCATTTTTGAGTTTTTTCAATTAACTTTTTATTACTTGCTCTGCAGACTAGTATCAGGTGTTGAATCGATTCCTGACCCGCTACTTCCGTCGTAAGAACATATATATTTTGTCATTATTATTGTCACTGCCTCCGTGTATTATCATCATCAACGTTCACTTGCTGGTGTGATGATAGTTGATTATTTTCTTATTTATTACAGGACTCAGGGTCCGGTAAACGCTGGCTGGGATCGGTGGTTCAAAGGAAACCAGAACTCGCGAAGACGGTGGATCTAAATAGTTTTCTATCCATCATGAGTGTTTGTTACCACGCCCATCATTTCTAAGGTGTACTAAATAATGATGTTTAATGCATAAAAGTTTAACAACGAGAAACTTTCTATTTTATTTTGAAGAAAATGGATATCAATTTTACCCAAAAATATGAAAGCTGTGGCTGTGCAGTGCAGTTGAGACGGCACCCACATTTATTGATCTTCAAATCAATAAATAAAGAATATATCAGGTCAACCTCCCTCCCTGCAAAATGCATTTAGTACATCCGAGCAGAGCAAATTAGCGACCCATTCATCATCATCCCCAATTTTTAGATTGTAAATCTTTTGGGACGAGTCCAGTTCACTCATTTATCCCATTTTTTTTGTGGTCTATCGTGGGGGCTTATTTTATGGTCTCTCGAATTTTTTTTTTTTTTGTGCTTATTTATAGCTATGAAATAGTAACGTCAAGACATGTAGAAGATTTTCACTTCAATAATCACTGTGCTCTAAACAAGCCATCTCAAGCCAAATCGAGTTTGAACGGTTTCTGGTTTATCAAGCATCAAAAGTCAAAACCCGAAAAGTAAACACTATCACAATCTGGCTCCAGGATCAGGCGGCAAAGAAGAACAATCAACAGGAAACAATAAACAAGTAAAATAGGCTGACACGATCCTAGACATTGAAGAATTTGTTGGTTCCTCAACCTACCGTCCTTTAACTGTCTGAAAACAGCCACCGGATTGCAATTCGTAGCACATCTCACCAAGACAAGCCCAAGATTGCAGAAAATTGGTACGTGTTACTTAGAGGTCCAGGAGCTCAATGACGACGCGTGCACAGTTCGGTTGTCGTAGGTTCACATGCCATATAGCTTTCAGTCCATCAAATGTATGGCCTAATGCCCCAACATTCGATGAGCAAGCATGACAGCATGAGAACCAGGCTTTTCACAAGTTTCGACAGACTGTTTGCAATCTGATGCAATAAAGGGATGCTGTTTTCCCATTTAGACCAAAGAACAATGGCTGGGAAAGATCATCCGTAACATGACTGAAATCCAGCATTCATGGGACAAAGCTTTCAAGACATTTTGCACAGCAGATCTACAACAAAAGTTACATCGACTTTCCAAGTGTCGGCCAGTGGTGCTGTGTTGTTTAATTCATCTCTAACTACAGAAAGATACAGCATGTTTCGTTGGATCTACAATTGCCAAAATCCACCAAGTTCAGCCAGTCTGCAAGAGGGAAACGATAAAAAAGTCACTATGTTCATTTCCTTCACAGACATCAGCCAACAGTACCAAAAAGGGCCACTTCATCTCTTGGTATAAATGTTCCAAAGTGCTTGGAGAGTTCTAAAATTATGTATTGAACCAGTCCTTCAACGTCAAAATGCTGGGAGCCAAAATCAACCAAGGCCAGCCACTGGTTCTGACCAAAAAAGGTAAAATATAAAGATGCCAGCATTCAGAAGCCAGGGTTACAGGAATAATATTCAGTAGAGGCACATGCACACGTTTGAAATGATGCCTTACCTCAACTATGCAAGTCAAACATTCAGGTCTTCCTTCCAGAATATTGATCCTAAAGAATTTAATGTGTCATGGAGACAACTATCAAAGCATGCATCTTAAACAACTGGGGATGCAGTAGTTGTAGTCAAAAGTGTTCCCCGAAACCCTTTCTCGGCATCTTGTGCATTTGCTTTCTGGTCAGCAATCTCATCTGTGAACATCTCAACAAATATTTAAACATAAACTATCCCATCTAAAACACTGGACAATCATGTTATATCATAATCATATTGATAATCTGAAGCACAAAACCTGTTAATAAAGACCACATAATCAGTCAGCCATTTTGAACTTCAGGCTGTTATTGTAATTTCCATTGTTATATAATATGTGACATTACGGCTTAAGCATACAAGTTGTGTTAGGAAATAAGCTTTCCTTAAATAAGAGGAGACTATCATTCAAATAAAATAACCATTGATTTTAAGGTAGTTATAGTATTACGACTCAAATTACCAGCAATATCTCTATGCTCGTGGATTTCAGAATCTTGCACCCATAGCTTGTCACCAGGAAATATACTCAAGTCTGCAAG